GGGACCAATAGGCTAGTCAAGTAGTGAGCCAATTTAAAATCGTTAGTTTCATATTGATTGTTGAGAGTACTGCTTCAGTGCACCAAAATTGATGAAATTTTTGATTTTAAATATGCATTTACCTCAATACCATTAAAGAACCTAAATCGAACTTTTTAGTGAGTATTCCGAAAATTTGTTATTTTTTTCTGAAGCTGCAGCAAATGTTTTCAATTGCACTTTGCTGGTTGTCCAGCAATATTTTTGTTCGCCACGTATGCTGGATTAGCAGTAATACGGTAATACTTTATCCGTTTGTTTCCGTTTTGGTAATCAGTATTAATTAACGCAATTAACGGTATTGAATGCAGGATTTAATTTAAGATGTCTTTATTCAATTGGGTTGTTTGTTTTTAAGAAAACATACCGATTTTGATTATACACACAAAGAACAAAAATTGTTGCTATAACAATAATGCATGATCAAATTAAAAGTTTCCCAAATTTCGTAGTTCTAATTATGAACATGTTCAAAATAAAACATATTTTTTTGGTTTAAAAGTGTTTCTTTCACTTTCGGCTTGTAATTTTAAAAGTGTATTTTTTAGAATAAATGTCGAAAAACTGTCAAAAACCTCTTCATTGCAAAGTTTTTGACAGTACTAGCACAGACAAACAGACGTAACTCTTCATTGTGTATCTTCGTTCATGCATTTAACGGTTGATTTGAATATTATCTGTTCCGCGAACTACTCGCCGCAGCGCTGGCATCGGATCATTTTGACGTCTCTATATATTCTATAGAAATTCTATGCAATATTGTTTACGAGTTAGCGAGCAAGCTTGTTTTCCGCGAGAAGCCAGAGAGATGTCGTTACTGAGGTTATATGTTTTGAGATACTATGTTTTCAAGAACAAGTTTTTCTAAGAGTTACGTCTGTTTGTCTGTGGTACTAGACCACTGTTTCCCGCCAAATTGGCTAACATAAGCAGCAGCAGTTTCTTCAAGTTTCCCACATTTTCATCCACCGGCGCGCTTGTTTCTCTTCTGACGCTATCGAGTGGAAGGATCGGAAGGATATTCCAGTTACGGGATTTGGAGCGAGGGGGACGACTCTATCTACGATGCAAAAAAGATTGTGTTTTGCTGTGGCTAGCTGCGCGCACGCTGAGTAGATAGAAAGAAGATTGATGACGATTCTGAAGATTTCCTGCAAAAAATTGATGAGCGATGCAAGTAGATGCGACAAATGAAAGAAGATTGTTCGAAGATTGATTCGCTAGTGTGAGATTTGTTGACCATCTAAACTTGAGATTTAGATGTGTCGCCCCCCTCGATTTGGAGGTAGGTTGATGAAATTTTCGAATACTTTCGATCTTGTTTCCGATTTACTAATTTATGTGTTTTGAGCAGTCTTGCCGCAAAGGAAGGTTACTCCCACCACCACCAACTGTATCATTTGCGTAAAATGCTTCCCATGATTCCACAATGCAGTGCCCTTTCAGTCATCATCAAAAATATAAATAAGCGAAAATATATTAAATAAAATATTTCTATTGTTACTTTTTTTTCAAAGCATATAGCAGTCGAATTTAAAATAATTCATATTTGAGATGAAAACATACATCGTTGCGATAAAAATTCCCATCTTTTAAATTAAATCCTTTCGTGAGTCTATTTAAAAAACATGGGTTTTTTTACAATTTGATTTGAAAGTTTCTACTTTTAAAAGTAAAAAACGAGTAACTTTTGAATTGACAGTTGGCTGACTTTTGTTTTGAATGCTAAAGGCTTTCTACCAAAAAGAACCAACGCAAACTTTTAATTCTACCAATGGTTTTTTCAATTTAATTAACGATATTTTTTGTGTGTAGATACTGTAGAGTCAAAGAGTTGTTTTATGTGCAGTTTTGTTTTGCATTGTTTCGTACACAAAAGTTCAACATGAAGTGCAAAGCAACAATGAATCGAGGAGTGGTTTGCGTAATAGAGTGGTAGTCAATGGCTATTTGGAGATAGGTAATTAAAACTGTGTCCTCAATTAATTAAAAGTAAATGTTATTTATTTTTACACAAGGGAAAAATTATAATGAAATGAAAATAAATAATAATTTGCTCGTAATATAACAATACTTAAGGCCGGCGCACAATAGATAAGTTTTCAGGTTTTTTGGCAGTTAACCCATGCATTATCTGTAAAAAAAAAAACCCGGAAACTTATGCATTGTGCGCCAGCTTTTATACTCTGCAAAAACAACACCATAATGACGTCATGTTCGTTTGGCAACACTAACTTAAGAGCCACCCACATTAGATCCGTTTGCGTTGCGTTGACGTTAATTTGACAGTTAGACAATAGATTTAGATGTCAGTTTACCGCAACGCGTCCGATCTGGACCTACTGTGTGCGTCAGCCTTTTCAGTTTGATTGGTTACTTTCTATTTCACCTCCGCTTACCTATGGATTGTATAGTATGTGTAGTTTTTAGACATAATCTGCACCGAGAAGAATTTCCGTATACCATTTATGTGTGAAACCACATATTTTTTTGCAATTAGATTTCACAAATAAAACATATGTTTGGGAACATAAAAATTATTTGGTTTGGTTGAAAGTGATTTTTTGTTACTTCATATGTGATACATGGGTAATTTCATTGGGATTTTTTGCGTGGAGGCGTTTTCCGGTTGAGTCCTCCCGTGTCTGTCAAACGTGCCTCAGAGGGTCTAGCGTATACTTCGCCACTGTGAGCCTCTACGTCTTCTTCCTACACGGTTTTCTCCTGCGCTTGCTCCTCCTGGACCTATACCTCGCCGTAACCCTACGGAACAATTCACAAAATAATGTTATTTCAAACAAATAATTTCTATGGACCTTCTCACGTTTGCCTTGCACCAATCAGTTAGCAGTTAGCACCACTCAGCGCTCAAATATCAAAATTATGTATGAAAACACATAAATAACATTCAACTATAAGATGCGAAACATAATTGTTATGGTAGCACACATATAAATAAAATATGTCATTCATATAACTGTGATGGGCTATCTTATAACAGATAAGAAGTTGATTATGAAATTTATGTTTACACATATAAAAATAATGTTTTGAGTATTTTATAAAAAGTATGTATACTAACCAAATAAACTGTAAGTTTAGAATTTTATTAGTGTGAAAGAGCTTTGTTTTATAAGCACAAAGGTATTTGTTTCTAATCCATAGACTTTCATCTCGATTTCTAAATGAAAATTTAAAGCAAAGTAATAACTTCACTGTTTGACACTAATTTACACAAAAAAAAAGTTCCACTGAGGGTGATGGTGATTATTGCTAATGTAATCGAACTTATTTAAAATATTTCCAACTTATAGTACGTTCAGACTACAGAGTTATAACATGTTATAGCGCTATCTTGATGGTGCTTTCTGTGTTGCAATTATTTGACAACCGTTATAACATGTTATAACTCGCCAGTCTGGCCGGCGTTTTACCAACTTACCGGGTTGTTTTTTTATTTCCGTTCTGGATCTGTTGATTTGTATAAACCTTGGTCTCGTATATGTTATCACCTCGGTTGTCACCCCACCCCTGCTACGAACCCTTGTATGGTCATATCGGCTCACATCTTTTGAACTGTCAACCAACACTCGATAAACGAAGACAAAAAGGCAAAAGTAAACGATTTTCTGATAAACAAAACAGAATTTTGTCAAACTAATTTCATATTCTACATTTTGGGAGTAAACTTAAGTTATTCTTCGTCCTATTTGTACGGTTTGTAACCTCTATCGATACCACCGGAATATACGTACAAGCACGAGCAACGCATATTCAAGAATAGTTAACTACCAGACCATCGTGTCTAATTCAATCAATAGCAGCAGAAATATATTCAAAGATGTCGACGCGCCCGGATGATCACCGTCGTAAATGGGACCGCAAGGAATACGAGCGATTGGCTCAGGAGCGACTGCTTGGAAAAACAGCTGCCACCTCCGAAGATGGTATGTACTATGGAATATTTTGTGGGAGAAATTTGATGTTTCTAGGGTAATTTTCAGACTCCGAACCCATCACAAAAGAGCTGCTCAAGCAGCGCGAGTACAAGGTCGACTTGGACTCGAAGCTGGGCAAAAGTATGGTCATTAACAAAAGTACCCCTTCATCCCAATCCGGCGGGTACTATTGCAATGTGTGTGACTGCGTCGTGAAGGATTCGATCAACTTTTTGGACCACATCAACGGCAAGAAACACCAGCGTAATTTGGGCATGTCGATGAAGGTCGAAAGGAGTTCGTTGGACCAGGTTAAGGAACGGTTCAAGATTAACAAAAAGAAAACTGAGGAGAAGAAAAAGGACTACGAGCTGGAGAGCCGGGTGAAGGAAGCCAAAGAGGAGGAGGAACGCTACCGGGAGTACAAACGCGAGAAGAGGAAAGAACGCAAACGGAAGATTGAGGAAGTGGACGACAGCGTAGTGGGCACTTCGGAGCTAGCCGCCGTGATGGGATTCGCCGGGTTCGGGGGCAAGAAAAAATAGGAAGTTCATAAGAGGGGGCGTAGTATTATATGTGGTAACTCAACTATTTCTACACAGCAGCAGTAAGGCTAACAATCTGATAAGAAGCGTGTTTAAAATCAACTACTAACGGAAATCGTTCGTGTTTATAATTATGCAACCTCATGTACATTTCGCCGTGTTTCCTCGGGAACTATCGGTGTAAACGTCCTAACAAGTAGAGAAACAACTAACTACCGACAAAAGCTGAACGTCTAAGTGTTTTCACTTAAATTTATCTTTACATAGAATCGTAACTATTATGGATAGACCACCCATTGCAGCGAAAAGTATTGGCATAGATAAATATATTGAAATGCATTATTCAGCCAAGAGGACAACGTGCATGATTTTCAATAAATTTACTACCTTTCGCTGTAGCAAGGTAGACACTGGAAATGAATGGATTTCTTTTGCGTTCTGTTTAAAACATTGGGGTTTCCGAATAAAATGCGTTATTATTTTACATCGAAAATTGCAGAATCGAAAAAAAAAATTACTTCACTCGCTATCGCCTGTGTCCTGCTTATTCTTGCCCTTCTTCTTGGTTTTCAGAGCTGCCTTTTGCTTCTTCTTTCCGTTTGCGGCTGCTTTGCCAGCTTTCTTCGCCTGAGCCATCTTCTTCAGCTTTTTTATCTCGTCCTTCTTCTTCATTCGCCTGTGCTGTTCCTCAATGGCCTTGCGTTCTTCTTCCTCCGCTGCTTCTTGCTCTTCCTTCTCCAGTAGTTCCTTGGCTTTTTCCTCTTCGTCACCTTGGAATACATCGGCAAATTTGTCGAAATCGTGGGTCTTTGTTGGAGCATTCATTTCATGATCCACTTTCTGCTTCTGCTTGTTCAGATACTTATCCTTGGCGGCCTTCCGGATCAACTGTCGGTGTTTGGCTGGGCTCTGATAGTTTGCATTTTCCCAAATCGGATCCCCGCTGAAAGACCCATCGAAGATTTTAATGGGATTCATAACGAATCTTGGTCCCACTTCGGACAGACCACCATCTTCCGACAGAATCTGGAAATGCCTGTACCAAATGCGATTATCCAGATATGTGAAGCTGACCACACGGTCCACGAACGGTTGACTCTTCGGATGGTGATTCGGGACCCCGAAAACCTGCGTCAGCAGTTCCTTGATAACGGCTAGATGTGGCTGCTTGGTAAACTCTTGATCAAACGACAGAATGGGGCGCGATCCGCGCAGGCAATTTCCAGTCAGTTTCATCTCGCCCATCGTGTTAATGTTCTCGACCAGGAACTTAACCGACGGTCCCTTTTCTACGTTGGCCAACCACATGTACAGATCTCGCTTGCGTCGACCTTCGAACAGCATCACCTTATTGCAGTGCTTCATTTCGCTCATCTCGTTCACCACCGACAGCGTCTTCCAGCGTTCCATCTTCGGTTCGGACCGATGATGCGGCATCAGCGTTTTCAAATCCTTCATCAGGTGCCGATCGCGATGGTTGATTCCTCGGGCGCACAGGACTAGAACGCGTTGTTTGTTCACCCATTTTGTCTGGAAATTAGAAAATAATATTATTCAAATTTCAACCAAAGTTCTATGCTAATCGACTACTAACCTTCTTGGGAACCGGTTCATCCGAAGACCTGGTATCTTTCAATAGGATTCCTTCATCTTCCGACGAAGCATCCAGATCCACTAGTTTGCGCTTCTTGGTAGCCTTAACCTTTGGTTTTCGAACCCTATTGTTGGTCTTTTTGTTTTCAGCTTTCGGCTTCATCTTAATTGTGAAAGGATTTCGTTGGGGAAAGGCAAATTACACTACAAAAATCAAGAAAAACGGTGAAATTTATCCGCTGCACGAGCTAAGCGCCTGGAACGACAACACGCGGTTTGGCTGATTTCGCTGGGATTTGACATGTTTACATTTTTCTGAGGGAAAATCAGTAAAGGCTCGGCTCACATCTCCCAACAAGCTCGTAAAAATGGTTTCAGTATAGACCCTTTTGAAAACACTCGGCTGAGTGAGAGAGAATCAAATCGAGGGAGAGCCAGAAAAGCCGACGCCATCAAAACAATAAACATCACACAAGCAGAAAGCACTCCACTCCACTCCTCAATCTCAATCAACCGACGACGACGACGACAGTATCGAGAAGCGAAAAGAAGTTGAAAAGCAAAGGCAACGCCATCATCACCACCGCCAGCGGAAGCGATCGCGTCATCTCGATGGCATTCATTTTTGAAAATTGAGGAAGTTCTAGTGTTTTTTCGTGCCGTTAAGTGAATTTAAACTAATCAAAAAAGGCACGAGAGTTTGGAAGTGAAAGTGCCAATCAGTGATGGGTTGCTTTGAGAGTAAACCTTCCGACCAGCATCAGCCGACGGCCGTACGCGGGTGTACCGATATCTTCTGGCTTATTGTCTACGTTCTGTTTTGGATTGCGTTGGTGAGTAGTATGCCTGTATACCTATATTCACATAACCGATCGTAAAAGGAATCATAAAGCAGGGAATAATTAGCACCTCGCACCACTTTTCGGAACCACACCTTGTGGAAAGATGATTCCTATAGAAATTCGCTAATGAAATCGATTTACACTAGGGAGATCTGGGTCGAGGCAGTGTCCGAACGATTGTAGAAAATGTCCCCTGCTGCGCGTTTTATCAGCGCTTTTCTTAACAAAGTCATTCCGAAATGCCCTTGTAGAGGAAAATGTGGAAAATGTATCATACACAGCGGGAAAAACTCACACCCCGAACCAAGTGGATTCTGCTCTCTTTGCTGTTACGCATCAGTGTAGCTACATACACAAACTTGTTGATACGTTGTGTTTAGATTTGCCTGGTTGAATGCATGGGATCACGAATGATTCGCAAGAGAATTAAATTCCAATCGTGTGACTGTGATGGATTTGTTGGGGACCATTTAGAAATACAGATTATTGTGACAAAGTACAGATTTTTTAGATGGTTGAAATTATAATATTGAACCTCGGATTTTTGCAAGCGGTGCTTAATATTATTAATAATATCATTACATGAAGCCACTTTAGATGCACTCAACGAATGAATTTAATTGACTCAGAGAATCTGTTGCTTATTTGGAGTATATGTTACCCCCGATTAATAGACTGAATCGCTTGTTCCAGTCTGAAAAGCCCGAATTCACGATGCTGCATGACTTTTATCTGACGATTCTTACTAATGTCTGCGATGAAACTTACGTACAATTAATATCCAGGGCAAATGCTGTTAATTTTGAAAAACATCTGAAAAGTGGAAAGGATGTTTATATCGGGTTAGCAGCTGAAGAAGCAATAAAATCAATGGACGGAGAAAAGCAACACATTTTCAGGGACATCTGTCGCAGTTTCTTCGTGGAGTTGGTTAAGCAGATGCGAAAGCGGTTCGATTTCAATGATCCGATCCATAAGGCTGCTGCAATGTTGAATCCTAGAAACTTTTCCAATTTGACAGGAATCAATATGGTACTGGACACGTTTTCAGGTTTCTATGATTTGGATTTGCAAGAGTTGGAAAACGAAATCCGTGCCTTAAAAATTTCGTGGATTTTCTTATGTTTCGAGCAGAGTTACATTTTCCTCGTGTGTGCAAAAATGTGCTGCCGAGACTCTCAACAAACCGTCTCCCGTCGCAACGAAAACAACATGTGACGAGCAAGAAAGAGACACGCGAGAATAAGATGCGAGCGAGAAACAAATGCGACACCCAAAAATCCTGGCGTGCGCGAGGCTCGCGCTGATCTCATGTGCCTCATCTCATGTGCTACGATTAATGCTAGAACTGCAGAGCTCGAAGTTCTGGAAGGTTCGGTTGCTTTGACCGACATTTCATTTGCGTTTGCACAAACCATTCCTATTTTAGAGGAAAGGTAGCATATATTTGCAGTGCTTAAATTCTTGAAATCCTCTAATAGCAAAAGCCATTAATTTGCCGATCAATTAGAATATTCTTTGTTTATTTTTACCGGTTCAACACTTAACTGTACTTGCATGACTAACATCTTTTGACACGTTATTTTCAAAATATAGAATGAACAAAAATTCTACAAAAAGTGTCTCGGTATTGTTTAGTACGGGGATTTGACCGTTGCAAGACGTTCACACATTTTCAACGTAATTTAACAATTAATCGGAAACACAACTGGTATACATTGTTAGATGGGATGTTACGTATTTTGAATAGATTATATCGGAATGCTACGAATGCAGCAATGTTATTATAATTCAATGGGTGGAAGAATTTTTTACAGAACATTTTTTTCTTTGCGTATTACCTTTACGCTTTCACTTGTACTTTGTTACCATTACTTTAAAAATGTTCAAATTTTTTTTAATGTGCCTCATGTGATCGAGCATTCAGAAAAATTCTATAACAGAAGTGGTGACCCACTGGGTCATGGCGCGGTCTATGCTAAATAGCTGCAGCAAAATAGTGACATGAGCGGGCATCGTTGACTTTAACTCAGATGAACGTGTAGACCAGTGCAGTGATATATTTACCATTCCAATTATTAATATCACCAAGTCTACCGACCTTCTGTTCTGTTCCTTCAAATTGCTTTCTGGTTGGCACGGTACGTTCTAGGTGGCTTCTGCTGACCATTGCTCTGCGGGTTTCGATGACATCGTTTTCGCGTAGATGTCCGTAATCGCTAAGAAGAAATAACCTTTTCGGTTAGATAATGGGCGACCTTGCCTTTGTATACCAACAGTGTCAGAAGGAAGCGCCTGAGTATCGGCACCAATTCCACAAAGCGACCACCAAGCACCACCATATCGCTACAACAAACCAGAAAGTGGTACAGCCATTACTGCAACCTGCAACAGATTAACCAATCAAATCACCATGTTGCCAGAGTGTATGGTTTAAATTTGGAAAATACCGTGTTGAAAGTTGATCTATCCATTTGAAAAATTATGATATTCAAAAACTTAAGCACATTCTTAAATCATCCTTTTTTTTAGCAACTCGCTAATTCAGATCAGAAGAACATCAGCAAATGCTGATCTTTTAAAACTTCCTGGCTGTCTAGGGAGCATATATGAAAAAAATATCCTGTTACTTATGCAACGTTTCCTGAACATGCACAAAATTTCCTTAAGTTTTAGAAAATTTACTCAAATTTCAAAGTACCTTGAAATCTTCATCTTCAGGAAGTTCATTGAGATTTTTAAGATCTCTGACAAACTTCTATGAAGTTCCTTAAACTGAAACGAAGATCCCTGAAGTCTTCTATCTTTACAAAATTCCTTGAACTTTTTCAAAATGCTATGTACTTTTATGAAGTTATACACAGTTCCTCGAGTTATAACGCAGTCCACAAAACTTCATCAAAGCTTGCTTCACGTCTACGTTTCTCGTTGACTTTCCGCAAAGTTCGACGCACGAAATTTCCTGAATTTGTGCGGAATTCTCTGAACTATGTCAAGTCCATGAGGTTTCATCAAAGCTCTGAAGTTATAAACAAGGTCCCTGAATAATAAAGAGGTTCCCTGCCATTAAACAATAAACTTCTACGAAGATACCTAAACTTGTACACAGTTCCCAGTTCTACGAAGTTTTCTGAACTTTTCCATAATCTCAGAACTTCAAATAATTTCACTAAATTTAGCTCATGATTCATCTGACATATGTTGGTCTTAATGCATAAAACAAAATATAATGATAATACCAAAGAAACATTCAAAATCAGGACAGTGTTCTAGTGAAAACAGTTAACGGAACATTAGAGTCAAACAAAGCAGAAGTGTTACTAATCACATTAGTGACAGTATGAATAGCCTCATTCAGCCCATACTGTCAATTACGAGCTACGAGGTGTATGAAGTGTCGTTTTTTTTTTTATAATTCATTTATTTGTACAAGCTCAATCGAATAAACTTTACAGAGCCGAGTATGAAGTGTCGTTGTCTTATAACTTTTTCAAGTACGTAGAGGAAGAGTTACCGAAGCAGTTCGATGAAACTCTACGAAGTTCACTGAAGTTCGGTGAGCTTCTACAAAGTTAGCTGAACTTTAAAGAAAAGTCTGCTCTTCAAGAAAGTTTCCTGAACTTTTAAAAAGTTCCTTGAAGTACCACGATGTTTCTTGAAGAACTACAAAATTCCTTGCAACTCGGATAGCAGTTCGTACCCTGGTGTAGTGGCTGTAAATGCATTGTCAGACAGCACCAGCAAATCAACAGAGGAAGTCGTAGAGGTACTGCATGAAGAGGTGGTGATAATGGACGTGCCCTTAGGAGACCGATAAAGCATGCAAAAACGAACATCAGCATCCTCGGCAGAAAGGGTTTGCGGATCTGTCGAGATTCGATGCGTTGCAAGCACACACAAAATATAGGAAATCGATTTAGATCTCCATTGTAATATTTGTTTAGTCCTTCGGCTCCGCAAAGCTTTGAAAGATATTGAGCCTACTATGTTGGATTCATGTCAAGAATGGAATGTCAAGAAAATTTGTTATTAATTAATTTCCAAGTTGATAACTTGCTGGTAGGATTAATCGGCTGTTTTCAGGGCAACACTGCATCTTGCCCTTATGACATAATAGCCTCGATTTTTTGTCCTATTATTCCAATGTTGTCTGCTGAGTAGTAAATGAACCATGTCAGAAGAACATCATATTCCTAATCAATTAATAACTAATTATCCTAACGTTCAATTTTTCAATTCCCACATAAACTTCAAAGGGCCAAGTGCAGTATGAGTTCGCATCCTAATGAGAAAAAATTTTGTGAGAATGATCAGGAGCTGATTTGAAATCGTTTGAACTTGGTGGAGCTAGATCAATATTTTGAACCATGAAAATTCCATGCGCATGGATCGGTAACAAATAACCTCATAATCGCTTAACTCATCTTCCGCTTGAAATACTTATATAAAACCACAATTTCTCAACCCTCAAAAACTGAATACCAACTGATTGAAATCAATCAGTTATACCAGCAACACGAGAATGTGACAGGACTACAACAGTTCTCTGCTGTTTTTTTTATCACCAACCAGCATGCACGCAGGACGTAGGTACGCTACCGATCTCCCTGGAGCTCGCCGAGCTAAGCTCATGAGACACAGCACATGTGACACGAATGAGGAACGTGTGTGTGTGTGTGTGTGTGTGTGTGTGTGTGTGTGTGTGTGTGTGTGTGTGTGTGTGTGTGTGTGTGTGTGTGTGTGTGTGTGTGTGTGTGTGTGTGTGTGTGTGTGTGTGTGTGTGTGTGTGTGTGTGTGTGTGTGTGTGTGTGTGTGTGTGTGTGTGTGTGTGTGTGTGTGTGTGTGTGTGTGTGTGTGTGTGTGTGTGAGTGTGTGTGTGTGTATGTGTGTGTGTGTGTGTGTGTGTGTGTGTGTGTGTGTGTGTGTGTGGAAGAAAACCAAGGTTGCAAAGACTCATTTCAGCTAAAACAATGTTTTCTAAATTATGAAAT